AAGGTTTTTACCTTTGGTTCTTGTTGCGACATAAACAACGGGTCAAGGTCCTATCATAAACCTGATTTAGCTTTCCTGGAGTTTACAAATCCCTTGTCGTGCTGTGGGTCTCATTGTTCTCTTTGGGGTTCTCATCAAAATTATTAATTAAGAACAAATTAGCAACTAAGAACGGACTTTGATGTTCTTGATGTTCTTGTCTTTGTACTGCTAATGGTTGTAAAGGTACCTTAACCATTGGGTTTTGATTTTCAATAGGCATTCTTGCTTTTTATTTTTAAAAAATGATCTTTTTTATGATGTCATATAACGTAACTCACTATGTGCCACCTAATCTAATTTTTTACACAAGTGCCACCAAAGAGAAGGATTAGACAGCTTGATATGAAGAAGGGGAGAGTGAGAGTGAAGAAGAGGAAAAGTTGAGAGAGAAAGTGAAATTAATGAAAGATTAGTGTAACAGTATTTTATTTATTTTTACTTTTAAGATTAGGAAATTAGAAATTTAAAATTAATCTTTAAGTAATCTAATAAAGAATGAATAAAAAAAGTTCGAGTTATTTTGAGTGACCCAACCCACCCGTGACCCAACCAATTTTACACAAAAACAAGCATGATTAGTTTAAAATGAAGTTGTTGTCATTTATTGATTTGAGCATGCCTACTTAGAGTTTACTGAACTGTTCTGAAGTGGTGGTGGGACTAAACCCATTTTACACAAAAACGAGCATGATTAGTTTAAAATGAAGTTGTTGTCATTTATTGATTTGAGCATGCCTACTTAGAGTTTACTGAACTGTTCTGATAACCTGAAATTGGCTTGTAAATTATGGATTTTCCTGTAACTCCTTCTTGGTTTAGTCTCCAATATGGTCATGTTTTAGTATGCCTGCTAGTGGGAGGTTTATAAACTCTAGCACATGTCAACATGTATTCCTAGAAACTGGTTTGTCCTATTATTCCTACCAGTGGGATACTACATTAGTTATTACCATGCCTGCCAGTGGGGAGGTTTATAAACGCTAGCCATGATCTATAGAGGAAACATCTATTTCATTCCTATACTTGTACCCGTTTTTTTTTTTATACTTGTTGGCATGCTATAACTTTAATTAAGGGCTATCCATATTTTTACTTACTGAGTTATCTCATATAGTTTTTCCTCATCCACCGTTTCAGGTAGTAAGACTCAAGACGTGGGAAACCAAGGGGAGTGACGAGCTAGAAAGCTAGCTATTCGTATTTTGGACATAGATTTGGAGATATAGATCATTCTTTCGTAAGCTAGATTTTATTTTTAGATATTGATCTAAGTTTATGTGGATTGTTAGTTATTAATTTAGCAAGTTCTGAGCCTTGTGCATTTGTAGGATCCTTTTACAAGTGTACGGTGTCTATTTTGCTCCTGGTTTTGGAGCGTGACAGCTTTAGTAATTTGTGGCATTTAATTTCAGAACATATGATTACTTGCAAACTTATGGTGGTATTCTTTAACCTAGTGTTCCTCAAATTAAATGTGATTTCAATATTCTTTAAACTTCTAAGTGCTAATTAATTGAAATTCCATTCTCTATTTTGTTTATCAACAAACTTAAAGGAAAAATTAGGCCAAGTTGCTTGTTCTATCAATCAGCCTTTACCCATTGGTAAGAAAAGATTATCAGCTAGCTTCATTGAAAAAAAATAGGCATAACTTTGCCATCATTTTGTTCCTAATTATAATGTTTCCTCTCATTTACATAGTAATTTCTCTATAGATGGTGATCATGGTGTTTAGAATTTTTTTTTCATTAAAATCGAAAAATGAATCATGATGGGTAGATTAATCAATAGATCTCTAGAAAAGGAGTCATAATTTTTCTTTAATATTTCATTGATGCTGTAATTAAATCTCTCTCTCTCTCTCTCTCTCTTTCTTGACTGATTTTTTTGCAGCTATATTCTACAAGGGATACCACCCTCACTGTGAAACTACAAACATGTTTTTATTTGACCTTGCAGGTACCATTTGAGGAAGTTCCAGAACTTGTAGCTAGTCCCCAAGTATATGTACATAAAGAATATGCTTATGTTGCTATGAACTAAGACTGAATTTTTATCATTTATACTTCTCATATCTTCACCTGTCTTTAAACTTCTTAGGTGGTTTCTTTTATTGTCACACAATTTCAAAGTCATTGTCAAAGGCACTCATTCTAACATTCAACTTAGTTTATGAACATTTGAGATTACAATGATATGCTGTTTATTTTCATATCTAAGTCTTAGAATTGTTTTGTGCTCTCACAAATATAGAAAAGGAAATATGATATGTTTTATAAGCATTTTGTCTTATTGGAAGTGCATTATTCTTGTCATTAGTATGCTATTTGTGATGATGGGAATCAAGACGACAGCATATCTACCACGTCATGTGATCCATTACACACCCAAGGAGGTCCAGTCACGCGAGCTAGAGCTAAGAAGATG